TTTTAATCACCCTGTATATGACATAATAAAATGATTATTCTGGATTTTTTATCGCATTTAATTAATTTATTTTACAAATTCCACTGTACAAACGCAAGATCTTACATCTGCTGTATTTGATCTGCATTCCGTTGCTTGATTCACATTTATGGCTTTGTTTCCATTCACCCTAAGGCGAAAAATTGCTAACACATGTAGGCAATTCCAAGTTTATTTTTACATARGCGTCCTGATCAAAACTAGTTAATTAAATGCGATTTAAACATTAAAAAAAACTTAATAATTCTTAAACTTAATAGTGATTTACAAAYTGTTATACAATGAAAAAAAATTCTTCGYTTTTATCTGGCAACGTCACTTATCAAATCGTCAAAATCAATCGATCGAAGTAAATCAATGCYTGGACTTTAAGCTTGAACCAACCAACCAATGKWCGYTGATAGTTGAAAATAGAAAAATAAAAAAATAGTACTTAGCTTTAGACGAAAGTTTACTTTAGTTTTTTAAAGACCACTACGTTTTGACTGTGAGGAGCTCGAAAAACGGATTTCATGTGTTTCTTTATAATCTGTGTGAAAAGTGGCCGTCTTGATCCCTCTGTGTTATTTCATTAGTTATTTAAATGTAGTGTACCATTTTTTCAAAAATACTTTTAAATGAGCTCCGAATAAAACGAGAACAATTTACAAAAAGAAAACATTTTTTCGTGCAGTCTGGTGATTTGTAATATTTCATGTGTCAAAACATGATTTTGTTTGGCACGAAATTTTCCTATCCTTGCAACTTGTAATAAGATTTGTATCAGTTTAAACGGTGGGTGTTTGGGAATGCGAAATTCCAAAGATGAGACCTGCATTTTATCTTTTCTATATTTATTCTATATCTAAATTAATTCAAACTTTAACAGACAAAATAATATTAAGGGCTGTAAAAGATGGGCATTCAAACTTCTATTGAATCTTTATCTATTGAAGAATCGATAAGTTTATAAGTACAATTCAAATCAGTTCTGTTAAACAATTCCGACTTTTCTGTGTAACGATTGGAGCTGAATTAAGTATGCAAAACTCCCTTGTGCTTCTAATTACAATGAACAAGAATTTGTCAACTTTGCTTCGATCACACAGAAAAGTTTTAAGAAAGATCAATTTATGATAAATAATGGACTAGTTCGATATTTTGCGAATAACGGTCGAATTAAATGTGTACTGTAGACCGCTATAAAAGTAGCTTGTCTTTGAGCTGTAGCATTTTATATATCTGGTACATAAATAATTGATTGATGTAGGATTTAACAAGGTGTGCCGAAACGAAATTACATATTTTCTATTTTTGTCAACGAATTTTGCAATAGGTGCGCTCTCTAAGGGAATTAATGTTAAAGGCATTTACACATTTCCATATAAAAATTTTTTAATTGACACACCTTGTGACGGGAATTTTGTAGTCGTGATGATTGTAATCTAAAAGGACATGGAGTCATGAAAAGTGGCGAAAGATGACTGAAAATGAGACAAGCTGTTCCACTGAAGACATGAGTACAACTGCACTGGCGATAAAGTTTGCACACAATCATAGAAACTAGGAATGTTATAATTATGGCAATACTTACTTATTATACAATACGATGTCCGGCCTCCAAATGTGGTCCGACGGAACGTGGAGCATGTGAACACCTCCGTATTCCTTCGGTTCCCATCTCAGTTTGTAGTCGTACCAAGACTAAAATCATAAACAATATTAGGATTAGTTCAAAATTCTTTACAATGGGTTTGAATTTTTCGGGAAGTTTTTTATCTAATCAGCAGTAAGATATCTTTTGGTAACACCGATGCGCCACAGACTAGAGATGGGAAAGGGGAAGACCGAGAAGAAACACATCGTTTATAAAGCTAGCGTTCAGCCCCCTGTTAGGGTTTGTAATAATTGTCCAAAAAGATAACCATTATTTTCTAAACACACGTACGCTCTTCTAACCTTTGAATCTGGATACTAGATTTGGAATTATGGCTCTTAATGCGTCAGTAGCTGTTCTCAAAAATTGATCTTCAGTGTCAAAGTGTTGAACGTAAACTTGTTAAGTTGGTTGTTAATGTAACCCCAACAGAAGAAATTGAATGGGTTCAAGTCTGGCGATCGGGCTGGCCAGGAAACGTCACCATAAGTTCCTATCCATCTTCCTGGAAATTGAGACAGGTCATCTCGAACTTGTCTGACATTGTGCGCAGGAGCCCCGTTTTGTTGACACCTATATTTTCTCGTGGAAGAATATCCAAACTTTCTTCTAATTCGATTTCCAATAAGTTAAGGTACACAGAAGGCTGTGGTTAAAGCCGTGATTCATATGTTTCTTAATTTAGCCGAGCTCTTATCTCTTACGGTTTCGAAGATTCTCATGCAATCCCAAGTATTATATTTTCTCAGATTCTTCGAACAAAACCGGAAAAATTAGAAAAAAAAACTTACTTAGAAAAAACGAATTACACGCAAGTAGAGGCTTTCAATGCTCAAAATTAAAAGAGTACTTTTAGCAGTAATTAAGAAAGGGTCTAATATAGCAATTGGTTGAATGCAGCTCTATGGAGGAGCTAGACAAGTGCCTCAAATGGAAATATCTCATTACGAATTAAATTGAGTAAATCCGGCATTGTAAATATTAATAAAGATATGTTTATCCAATAAAGCAACTCACAGATCTCAGACAACAAATTACTGTTGCGTTACACTAGTATAGGAAAAATATAATCTTACCTGCTCCACCCATAGGTTGGTGGTCATAATCTGGTTCTTCAAGTTCTGAAACAGAAAAAAAATTATATAAATTAATGCATCATTGTAAAACCAGACTTGATTTCAGATTACATAAATTGACTAGCAGTGAAGCCTTAAATTAATTTAGTTAACGCACAGTTTATCAATAAACATCAAAATAGCTGAAAGCTTAACGTGCCGCTAATAATTAATTTAGTGTCGACGAAGCACGGTTGATGTAATGTGTTAATCTCGAGAAACACCAATATTTAATTAACTAAGTATTTCGTATGCTGTTGTCGACATTATCGCTTTGCAGTAAGTTTGCTCTCTAAAACGTAGTCATGTATAAACATCAGAAATATTCGCCCTTCAGTCTGCTAATAGCGTTAATATAGTCAACATCTCCAAATTCGAACAATAGAGCCATTTTCCTGCAGGCGGACTATTCACTCCGAAATAAATACATTGTTCTCAGATGAACTTTAATTTCCCGTTGGTTTCTCAGATAAAGGTTCTTTAAATTAATTTCGGCATTTTTGGCTATCAATGTGGACTAGTTGAAGTGGCCTAGAACGAAAAGAGTATAGGAAGCACATCAGGAGTTGAATGCAGTTTTTTTCATTAATTTACGATCAAGCTTTTAGCGATTATAAGAGACAACAAAACAAATGTGTTTTGAAGTGGTAACTTCTTATCACGCGGTGTGAATCGGTTGGAATGCGTTACGGTGCCGTTATGTACAAGATAGGAACCGCAAAGCGTCCGGATCTTCCAATCCTGAGTGCAAAGGTGGTCCTACCTGACCGCGTTGTTACACCGACACTGTTCTGAACAGTGTAAGGGTTTAAGCAAACCATCTCTGAAGATGTAAACCACTCGGGCTGGCGAAACGTCAGGAAGAAATTTCATTTTACGACCTAGAAACGCGAAAAACCCACTAGTTCCAAGGAATGGCGTCAAAAGTCTATCTCTGGATGTTTCGTCTTAGCCTGTACAGCTTGC